TATTCACTTAATAGTATTACATTTTCATAAATATTCACTAATTAATGTTACATTTTCATAAATATTCACTAATTAGTATTACTTTTTCATAAATATCCACTAATTAGTATTACATTTTCATAAATATTCACTAATTAATATTACATTTTCATAAATATCCACTAATTAGTATTACATTTTCATAAATATTCACTTAATAGTATTACATTTTCATAAATATTCACTAATTAGTATTACATTTTCATAAATATTCACTAGTTAGTATTACATTTTTTATAAATATTCACTTAATAGTATTACATTTTCATAAATATTCACTAATTAGTATTACATTTTCATAAATATTCACTAATTAGTATTACATTTTTATAAATATTCACTTAATAGTATTACATTTTCATAAATATTCACTAATTAGTATTACATTTTCATAAATATTCACTAATTAGTATTACATTTTTATAAATATTCACTTAATAGTATTACATTTTTATAAATATTCACTTAATAGTATTACATTTTCATAAATATTCACTAATTAGTATTACATTTTCATAAATATTCACTAATTAGTATTACATTTTCATAAATATTCACTAATTAGTATTACATTTTTATAAATATTCACTTAATAGTATTACATTTTCATAAATATTCACTAATTAGTATTCATACATATTCACTTAATAGTATTACATTTTCATAAATATTCACTTATTAGTATTCATAAGTATTCACTAATTAGTATTCATACATATTCACTATTTAGTATTACATTTTCATAAAAATTCACTAATTAGTATAGTTTTTGTTTAGTAAGAAATATAATATAAATATAAACTATTCAAATACTTTATATAACAAACAAAATATCGAAATACAATATCATTTTATTAGTTCAATTCAATTTAAAGGGACATAACGCATTCATTGAAGACGAAAATGTTTTTACTCAAATTTGTGAAAACTATACACCAAAATCTAGTGTCCCTTGGCGATGCTGAAAGTTTGAACTTTAAACCAATGAACGCAATAAAAAATCTATATTCAATCCATTATTAAAACGTGATCAATACATTTATGATGAAGGAAACCTTCTTATTAAAAAAAAATTCAAATTGCACATAGTCACAATTGAGATTCACAAATAAGTCATAAATAAATCATTTGATCTAGTTATCACTAAGCCCACCTAGACCACCACGTTGCTAAGATGACAAAACAAATTAGTACGGAGTTAACTGAGTCTTTTGTAAAGTTCATCTTCAATAGGACTAATTAACCTGAACTAGTGTCGGTTCACATGGCACGACTACTCGTCAATTTCAAAATATTTTCAGATATTTATGGTGCAAATATTAAACGTGGAATGGCAGAGAATACCAGAATTGGAATTTACCGAATTGGAAACCTGAAAGTCACTATTATTGGCGACAGACAATTGTGAGGTAACTTTGAAATAGTTTTTCTGGATTCTACTGGAAAGTTATCAATTCCAGCTCAGTGTCACCCGATGCTAATGGCAATCATGGAAACTCAGAGTTGACATCAGCATTCATGGGGAAAAAAATTGGATATAGAATTTCCAAAATCAGAATTCCACGCTACTACAGAAACGAGAATGTTATATTTTAACAGAAGCTTCATTAAGATGACCTGACATGAACATTATGTGGCGTTTCTCATAGCCAGCATCATTCATAGCGCTTATAGCAGTTGCCTAAAACAATGTTACGGTTTAGCGTCTGGGCTTGCTTACATATGTCGGGTTTATAATGTTTTTTCATAAAATTTGAAGAATACTTAATATTGATAGTTGAAACAACATGATAGTTGAAAAATACGTCCTCTTTCAAACAGTTATTGAATAAGATATTTGCTGATGAATCAATTCGACCGATGAAGAACTTTCAAAGAGCAACACATACATTCTTTTATCTGATGCTACCTTCCCAAGACCTCCTTGAAAATTCTTTTGCTGAGTTTCATGTTTTTAATGTGCAAACTCAATGTTGTGTTCATCAAAGTCAAAACCAAAGCTATCTCTACGAAATTGATGATGAAACTCAAGACCCCTTGACATGAATTGTATAGACAGAATATACCCATGTTATAGTGGTTTAAGTAGCTTGAATAGCCAGACAGGATTCTTTATGGTTTTATTAAAAGGGTAAAACCCTGCAATACAAATATAACAATTATTTACAATTCTAAAACACAATAAATACAAACAAGATAAAAACCACTATAAATTCATACTGCCAATAGAAATAATTGCCAACGATGTGAAATAATATATAAATAATATTTAATTATTGATGAATATTTGATATCTGCAACTGTATTAATACCCACTTACTATATTACTAAATTTCTTCGAACTATATCCAGGAAAATCAAGAACATTATCATAAAACTCCTAAAATATCTCGTTGTAGAAAATATAACTTGACTTGACAAAATCTCAGTATCTAATGACTCTTTTCGTAACTATGTATCCAATTATACATACTGACAAGGTGAGAAGGTAATCACTAATTACAGGTAAGAAATAAACTCAGAAGTCAGGTAGAAGTAAGAGAGAAAAACGAGAAGAGGTTACATGAAGTGAGAATTAATAAGGTGATTAGTAATAAACTTTGGTTTTGCTGTAAATATAAATCATTCATTATAAATTATTGAAGTCACATTCTCTCACTATAGCACCAATCATACAACCTTAAAACAATCAGGGACGTAGAGGCGTTCTTTTGAAAAACAATGTGGCAATTTCTTAAGATCACTATATCTTTATGTTAAGTCGCTACTGATGTACTATCTGTCATCCTTTTTTCAACATGCCATTGAGTGCTTTGTTTGGGACTTTAAACAATGTCAATTTCAAGGCTTTTAGGCATTAATGATTGTTTGGAGGCACTGGTATTCCTCGTTCTGGCTTCACAGTATTATTTTTGTAGTTTGTCTACCAGAACTGTTGAATGTATGTCTGCCATAGTACAAATCCTGCCATACTTGTCAATCTGAAAGGATTTTCAAATTGATCTTTATCTTTGATTTTAATGATGTTAACTTTTTTAAGCATTATGTATGTCAAATATGTACTAGTAGTATGATATTCGTTGATTTCACTTTTTGGCATTGAGGATTGTTTGGAGGCACTGGTATCCCTCGGTCTGGCTTCACAGTAAAATGTTTGTAGTTTGCCTGCCAGTTAAATGATCTGGAAAAGAACTTGAACAGGTTAGTTGAATTGTTGGATCTTGATGGTCGGTTACCAAAGACGGCAAAAAACTCGTTATCATCAAAAACCTGGTTATTGAATGGCCGTATCCCACACGAAACCCTGACACAATATTTGCAGAAGTTGCAACATTCAACTAATTCTGCTTGTTGATATATTGATATCAATTTTGAGAGATTTGCAATCATCCAGCTGTTTGATTCAGAATTATATATCTGTGCTATCAAATTGTTGTGTCTTATAACTCGAATGTGGAAGCAGAGTGAAAACACCATTTTGTTTTTGCTCTAAGGTTAGCAAGGAAATATGACTTTCATGGTTGTTCAGAGTCAGAATTACTGAATGGTCATTGGATGTACGAGTTCGTTCCACAAAATGCTCCATTATCTTTCTGAAGATGGTTGAATTCACCCAACCAGAATCAGATACAAACCCAATTGACATGAGTTGAGGGGTAGAAGTGGGACATCCAAAATATTTTTTGGGGAGAAGTGGGACACACTATTGAATTTTCGCACATCTGGTGCTCCATACATTTTATTGTCAATGTTAACGATTTGAGGTTTAGATCAGATAACAGAAAGAATATTTTGTCAACATTTGGAGAAAATCAAATTCATAAATGTTTTTCTAAATAGACAGCTGAAAACTTCGCTTAACGACATCGAAAACTTGATTAAACGATTAAAACTAACCTGATTATCAAAGCTTTTATATCACCATGAAATGAAGGTTGGAAAGGTCAGCAGAATTGAATTTATTTTAATTGGTTGATAATAATAAAAATAAATGAGGGTGTCCCACTTCTCCACTGTCCCAAGTCTCCACGCTCTCCCCTCCCTAATATTACATATGATCCAGTGGGCTCAATTGTCACAATATTCCATTTCTATCAAAGTCCGTCAAGAAACCAGCTCTCTATCTATCTAACACATTTTCAAATACAAATTGAACGCGTTTTTAAGAACAAGGGCAATAACCTTTTTAATAATTTTTTTTTGATTTGTCTAAATTTAATACATATTCATACCACATGTACAAATGTTGAAACGATTTGATGAGCCGTTAATCGAGTGCGTACATTTTTTTCGCTTCTCCAACATAGTTTTATGCATGAAATTAATCGAGCGCGGAAATTATTTTTCGTTTCTTTTGCATACTGTTATGAACATTTCTTGCAGAAACGAAACTTTAATTTATTCTCGGGTTTGGTATTTAACAAGCTCAAATTAAAGAACAGGACCAAACACTACAGAAATGTGTCCCTTATCTGATAAGAAATGAATCAGATAATGATGAATCTTGACGGGAACTCGGTACATGTAATATATATATTATTATTGCATTGTCAACTTATCAGATCATGTCAATGTTCTGTCAAGGTATCTCTTTAATTAATCTAGTAAACTGTATAAAATACTGAAAATAGGAAACGATTCATTTATAATTTACAGTGAATAGAACTGGTAAGATACACTTTATACATTATGATGAAGGTCGTCGTTCAGAGTGAATTTGGCTACACATAACTCCAATTCCTGAATTTATTTGTGTGTTATAATGTAGGGATGTTTTATGTGGTTCAAGAATCATTAACCCATGCTGGCCTGTCGTCGGTTCCAATTGACCACACAATAAACTTAGATTAACTATATTTGCTTGTGACGCAATAGAAGTATTTGTAACAATTGTCAAAATCAAAAAATAACACTGACAACAATTCCCTGCAAATGTTTTTGCAAATATTTTTATATTTTCAGATTTATAACAAAAAGAAAAAAATGCATCAGGTTACAGTATCAGTTATTTTGATGGTCCTTGTTTCTACTGTCCAATCTGTAAGTTGCTAGAATTTTCTCAAGATGACTACAAATGTTTTTCACCTGTCTTAGAAGCTCATTGGTGGATATTAACATTTAGTTGTAGATTCACCATGACATGGCATGGCTTATGGAGTAAAGTTTCTCGAGGTTAATACACCAAACATCAAGACAAGTAAAGATGTAGTGCTTAATATAACTTGATTATGGTTTATCAAATGTCTACAGGTTTATTATATTATTTCAATTTTTGATATTTCAGTGTAGAATGCAAGGACAGTCGTGTACCCCTGGAGCAAGCGTTAACAATATTGGTAGTCCTGGCATGGGCATGCCAGGGATGGGTATGCCAGGAATGGGCATGCCAGGTATGGGTATGCCAGGTATGGGCATGCCAGGTATGGGTATGCCAGGTATGGGAATGCCAGGAATGGGTATGGGCACCCCGGGTATGACAGCACAGAGTAGTAAATGTTGTACTGGATATTGTGATACTATGACCTATAAATGTAAAGGTTCAATGGGGTAAAACTGTTTTATATGCTCTGTAAAAATCGACAAAATAAAATTGTCCATCACGATTTTTGTTTATAAATTAAGATTGCTTGAGCTGATTGAATTGGTGATTTCGTGAGCTGAATAGTAAATGGGTACGTTTCCGATAATTGTATGTCCTACTGGTAATAACTAACGTTTCAGTGCAAATAATACAAACAAAAACAGTACGTCATCTCGAAGTCAAAGTTTTTCAAATCAAGATATGCTTGTGGGATGTCCACCGTCAAATATCAGTCTGCTACACAATATACTTACTTTCACATTGTCCTATAAACAAGGTACCTCGCAAAAAAACTCCATCTTCGTATTTGCGTCTAGATGTTCCAAAACAGTTTTAAAAGTTAAGACTTTATCCTACTATATTCAAAAAACAATCCCAAGCAGATACATCCTTAGATACAGGTAAGTGAAGTGTCCTCGCTTCAGACAACATGCCTTCATATCTATTGATAAATGATATTTCTGAAATAAGAAAGAAGAAAAAAAAAGGAAATAGGTCCGATTGAACTTTTCGATGATGATGTGATTATCAACATGTATGGATTGCCAGACATTAAATAGATATTATTGATATATGTAGGACCGAATTTGAACGCTACACTAAACAGTTCGAATCCTCTTAAATCAGACTTGTAGGCTCTTCAGGGGGCTTTTAATGAGTATCCACGCATTTTCAGTTTGAGAAAACAATCGTGGAAGCTTGGTTAATTCAGTAGACCTCCTCAAATGCGATTAAGTCATACTACAAGACCAGAAAAGGTATGCTATGAGATTTTTTACAGTAGTTCATGGCACATCTAGCTCAGAGCAATTTCTAGGTCTCTTTTCATACATTCCGTCACTGATAAAAATTCTTTTGTATCCACCCTCTCATTGAAAATAAAGGGGTTATAACATCTTAAAGACTGTCTCATAGGTTCTCGTTTTTTGGTTAAAAAGATCTAATACCTGTCTTAATTCGTTGATATCATTCTCTGTCCTTGAATCCATTTACTTGTAAAATAAACGATTTGTATTTATAACAGACAAAAATCCATCTTTTTCATCTGACACTAATGAACGTTAACGAGCCTCAGAAAGAGAAAGACCATCGCATTGTCATATTGTGAGCTGGTTTATTCCCTTCTGAACAAGAGTTACTTTTCTACTCGTCAGACAAAACTGCTTACCTTTGAAGCATGTTATAATTTGTGAATCATGACATGGTATTTATGGAGGTCAATCGTATTCAGAATTAGATGTTATGTACTTATGTCTAATACATACGACACGATACATCTGTGCAATGTTCTAAGACAAAATACCTCTTTTACTAACGTCACAATACGTCTAATTCATAATGCAAATGTTAAATTACATAAAACCACCGACACAATACCTAAAATGATAGGTGCAATGTCCTTTCACTTTCGACATTGAACAAAGCATAATTGTCTTTGCGTTTTTTTACATTGCAATAGTTATATTACATCTTCGTCTTTGTATCTTCTACATTGCATTAGCGAACGTGTTTTATCTCGACATAATTATGTATTAGACATAAGCATCTAATTCTGAATACGATTGACCTCCATAGGTATTTAGCCTTTAACTATTAATTCAACTGGTGATATTTGAATATTAACATACACATTAGAGAACTCGGAAATATAGATGGAGTTCATTTCAACTGTTTAGGCTTTCAAATTATAGAAAAAGCATTTTTAACTAACATGGAGGACTTTAACTGTTATATTTAAAAGTTGTTACCAATAGTAGTAGTAGCGGCTGAAATTTTACTTTAATGAAAGTTGTCAAATAATGACTGACATTTGACATGGTGCACGCCTCTTCTTTCTTGTTTCTTGATAAGTTTCGTATAGATTAACCAAAATGTCAGTGATGTAGGTAAAGGATGGATAGTCTTTCGGATGTGACAATTAACCGAGGCTACAGGCTGTACACGTTAAAGATCCTTCGACAATTAGAAATCATTAGTGAGCAGGCTAATGCCACTGTCCCACCTTGTAATCCCGCAATGGCGTTGCCCACATATAGGTAGAAAAGAAAGACGTAAAACTCATTTAATAAATCATTGATGTTTGGCATTTTCCTGTCATTAACGTAACAGAATTTATTTTTAATTCTTGCATTTCTCTTCATTTGAACCTTTCCGCGTCTAGCACGATACTAAAATTTGGGGAAGCACTGTCGAACTAGGGATATCCAATGGTAACCCTCCCTTTCCCGAAATGCAAATACTTTTTGTCAGACCAATTTTCTACTTTCCAACATAAGCCGATAGAAAGTCCACATCGTTCGCCTGATCATCATCGAGAATCCCATCATTGATACTGTGTTCATCAGATCTTTCTTTTTTTCTTCCTATATCGGATGTTTGTCAGTCAAAAGAAATGGACTGGCCAATTCCATATTGACTGATTCCATATTGACGAAATATCCATTTTTCTGTCGTCTTTTTTCTGTTTTTAATGTTTTGTATTAATAAATTTATTTTACAAATACTGTTATGTCTTTAACTCAACAGCAATTTTAAAACCACGGTTTTAGTTGAAATGTTAGTATATCTGTATATATAATAGTTTGGTGTTCATAATAGATAAAACTTTGGCATACAACTTTCAAAATAAAATACTTTTGGGAGAAGTGAGTATGTAGCCAAATTGACAAACACAGAAAAATCATTCAAATCAATCATTCTGCTAATATGTTTTGTAGAACCACCTACTGCATCAAAGGCTTTTTTTTTTGGAGTCGAAGAAAACCAACATGTTGGGAAAATCACATGACAGATGGTGATTTTTTTTAAAAATGTTATGAAGTTTGGTATGATTGATGTCGTATCAGTTATTTCTTAACCTACTAATTCATTCTTAAAACATTTGATGATATTTTCATTATCAGTGAGTTCATCACATTGTCTTTGATGTATAAAATAAGAACGAATAGCATAGGATATTGTATTAAGATCAAAATCTTTGTTTTAAAATATATTATTGATGGTTGAATTTTAATTTGAGTTTTTATGAGTATAATTTTCAATAAAATAAATGTTGATTACAAAAGATCTTATTGCATTGTCTAATAGACGATTCAAATTATTTTCCTGGGACATCTTAATAAACACATCGTGGAAAAAGTCAATTTTCGACTTAAATCATCCAGAACATGTTCAAGGGGAATATTTATTGTAACTCTAACGAGTCTTCCTTCATCGGACTCTTCCCATTGTTTATAGGAAACAGTTTCATTCAAAATTTCTTTAAGCTGTGACATGCTTTCAATTTTTTTCTACTGACTACGATCTGTACATTTTCGAAACATACATTTTTCTGTGGAATCTGAGCAGAGTTCACCCTTTCCAGAAAAATCTGTGCCATTTTTTTTTGCTTTTCCTTCTTCTCTCTTTCTTTCTGTTTGTCTCTCAGAAGCTGTTTCCCCATTGCTAAATATCTTGAGGATTGATATGTGACGGATAAAAAGACTCCCTGCAAAACTTTGTATAAAATGGATATGCATTTGCCCTTTGGATTTTTTTCTTTTCGCGCGCATAACTACACTTTTTGTTTTAATTCAATTTAGTTTTATATTGTGAATATGATAAATCTAAAAAGCAATTGTTTTTAAAAAAGAAGAGGACTACAATTATAAAACCTCCAACGTGCAACCATGTTCCACCTGTTATATTGACTGTAGAAGATGAACAGTTTTTAAACAATAGTTGTTGTGTTAGAAACTTTTTTCTATTTTCTTTAATCTTAAAAATCTTAAGTAAATTTTAGAACGGCCCACTGCATTTAGCATTATAAGTTTATAGATTGATTGGTTAGATTGTGGAATTCGTGCTTACAAAAATCTTCTTATTCTGAGGTCTTCTATGATCAATATGTTGATACTAGTGCACACTTTATTTATATGTCACAGGTAAAATGTTTTTTATTCATAGTTACTGTAGATATTCTAGAACCTTAAGAGAAAGTTAGTAATATTTCCAGACCAATTATTCCACCTATCTTGATGCCACGACTATCACCAACGGTGACTTATAAGAAGAATGTAAACAGCAAAAAAGAGAAATGCAGAAGAAATACTATAACATTTTGACATAACTGTCCCAAGAGCCGACGATAAAAAAATCTAAAAACGGAAATAGAAATTTAACAGTGACAGTCTTTTTTACAATGGAAAGTAAACAGCAAAAGGAGAAATATAGAAGATATACTGTGCCATTTTGACATTGCTGTTCCAGAGCTGACGATAAAAAAAATAGAAACACATGAGGAGAGAAATGCACAACAAAAGTGAATGTAAAATGGTTGATGTATTTGTATAGTTTAAAATTATTAGTTTTCCATGCTGTACGAAATCGCTTTATCTTAAGTTGACAATTCTTAACTACAAAGAGTTGTAATTCTGTCTCTTATTGATTGACCCAGGCGTCGTTTCCCCACCCCCAAATCTAGTTTTCGTGTCTTTAATCTTGTGTCTGATCTTTACTATCACCATCCTCTTTATCATAATCTGGCTCTCTATGGTGGTCTAAAATGTTGCACAAGACAGCGCAGGCAACTAATTTGTGATTTACTAGCTTTTTAAAGCTGACCGTGCTATATATTTGATGCAAATATCTGATTAAATAAATAATGCTCACTTCTGGTGATTTTACATCAAGTGGAGTTACAGTAATCCATCGATATACCGCCAGTTTTTGGGGAAACAGCTTTTTTGGTGGTATTTAGAGGGCAACGGCAAATAGAGGTAATGATTAATCAACAAGATATATTGTATGACACATATGTTTAACCGATGTCCGATATTTTACAGCTATATATCGGCCGAATTATCTCTGTTTTATCATCAACTCACAGCTTGAATTTAATCTACATGTTATCTAATGCATTTGTGTTCATATTAAACGACATGGCATTGTCGATACTTAAACTCTTCAACTGCGTTAAAAGTAATTAATTTGATCACGTGTAGTATCGACAACTATCCCGTCAATAACTTGTAACATTTTATTTG